AGTCTGCATTAGGTGGGAGGTGATGGTGTCTGTTGTCTGGTGTCTGGGGGGGGGAACTTTGATGGCTTGTGTGGGTGATAAGCCGATTGAACACCCTTGCTGCATTTTGTATGTAGGCTGTGTCAAGTCATACAACCATTAGACCAGAGCGTGATAGCACTGTTTACTTCAGCCACACCAATTTGACATTTAGAGGCTGTTATCCAGCTCGGTCTGAAAAGAAGAAGATATACTTTATTGATCCCGCAAGGAGAAATTCAGTTTAGATAGATAACACAGCTTAGCAAGACAATGACTGCACACGATATATAGTGTTTTACCTTCAGATTAGATTAGTAGATTTGTCTGGATTTTTTAAAATAAGTCTCTAGGAACTTCCTAATTAAGACAGCCAAGTACAGACATCTTTTTGAAAAAAAAAATAGACATTTAACCTCAGTCTGATTGCAGTGCATGCTGCTTTATTTAGTGTTTTCCTAGATGCATTGATGTATTTATTCAGCAGTATGAAAAAGGAAATATTTGAAATAATATTACGCCCCACACTTGGTCAAGACAGGGCATTTCTCACCCCTTCTGATACCATCACAAAATCTAGTTGTGCACTGATATATTTTAAGCTCCAGACTGTGGTGCGTGTAGACTACGTTCTAACCTTGTCCCTTGTATTTGAGAACAAATAGCTTTTTCAAGGCCCTTTGTTTGAAGGTGTTTTCTCATTGACCCCTAAGAAACCCCACAGAGAACATCAGACTGTGTTACCTCAGTAGTCCATGTGGTCGAACTCGTAGCTGCATTATTGTTGCTGCATTGTCACCCAACTTCCTAAAAGGATGTCCCTTTAGAAATGCTTTGTGTGTGTGCAGGCACAACACACACACACACACACACACACACACACACACACACACACACACACACACACACACACACACACACACACACACACACACAAACACAGACACACAAACACAGACACACACACTCGTGGAAGGCCTTATGGTACAAAGATGATCAGGGTGGTGTCTAGAGAGGAACCTGGAGAGGACTGCAGGCTAGTCGGTCAGGAAGTAACACCTCAGGAGTGCTTGGGTCCAGGAAGTCATGTATGCACATACACAAACACACAACCAACCACCCAACCACCTAAACACACACACAGTTTACATTATGACTTCATTTATTTGCAGAAAGCTGTTGCAAGGTTTTTGTGGTCAGATAACAAGGGTTCCAATTACTGGAATATATATTTTGAGAGGTCTCTTACAATAAAAAAAAACAGAACAAGCGGTGCGGTTTTCAAAGCAGACATTTTGACATGTCACTACAGGAAAGCACAGGAAGTGTCTGGTGCTTTTAAATAGTCTTTCATAAACTAAAGGGTTCCTTGTAAGTGCTTGTGGATGCATCTTGAGTTGAAGTTTGAAATATTTGGAAATGAAAGAAGAAATGTTGGAATGATTATCCAGACCTGACTTTGTGTTTTGATCACATCTGAAGGTTTAGAAGAGCTGCTGAACAGATAGTGTTCAAAAATAGTGCTGATATAGCATATTTATTCAGTTGAATTCCAACAAAATGAATGGGCTTTAGTGAAAATGTACTGTCTGTGAGAGTTGGAGCTTCTGTATCATCCACAGGACTGTTCATACAGACTGTTCACTCGCTCTAGCGCTGGCTTGAGACTTTTTGCCTGTAAATCCAGTGATTTTCACCATTTTGTTTAAAAAGAAATAAACTCTAAACCTGTGGATGTAAAGACATTTAAAAAAAAAAAAAAAAATCAGTTTGCAGAGGGGAAGCACTGACAGCTTGTGATTCTGAGAGTAGGTGATATGGACGTTTTCTGTAATGTTATGTAGCATAATCAGGCTATACATAAGTCTTTTTCCCATTTGTATCTTCAGTGTTGCATTTTTAAGAGCCAGGTGCTGCTGAGCTGAATGTAAGTTTAAGTATCCTGTATGAGATGGCTCACGTTGTTTATTCTGCTGCAATAACTCTTAGACCATCTTTTTTTTACCCAAATGTTCCAAATAGATACAGTATATCAAACATTATTACACACATACATGTAGCCCTATGATGAAAGTAGTTCCTGCATGCACACGGCGCTGAGAGATATGTGTCATTCTGTCCTAAAATGTCTTTCAAGCATCATCTTAACCTCGTGACCTCGCAAATGATCTGTTTCTGGAGGGCTTTCTGTTACTTTGAATTGATGGATTTCCCCTAAACAATTACTCTCTGTGAAATTGAAATGAGTCACAGTGCTGACCACTCCATTATTGTAGGTGCAGAGTTTATCACAACAGCCTTTCATCACACCAGTTAACCCAGTAAAAAGAAACCAGTGAAGCCATCAGGAAGCAGCTGCAGCAGACTGTCTTGACCCACATGAAAGGTTGGGGTTTGTGCTCTATGTGGTTCCTATAAAAAAACTTCTACAGCAGTCTAATTTAGTGTTTTCTTCTTCTAGTTCCTCTACAGGCCGTTATTTTTTTTTACCAGTAGTTTTAAAGAAGAAAAGAAACAATACATATCCATGAATGAGTAGTTTTACCATAACCATTTCCTGCTGCATCTCTTGGCCAGGACACTCTTGTAAATGAGATTATTTATCTCAATTAGTTTTCTCCTGGTTAAATACATTTAAAAAAAAGAAAAAGTGACCCGCAGAGTCACTGTTTTTGCACTTAGAGGGTCTGAAGTCAATTTTTCTTTTTTGACTTGAAGTGCTGTAGGAATCAATCTTAAGTCTCTAGCGCCCCCTGGAGGGACAAAGGAAGATCAGGATGGAGGGGACCTTTCAAACAACCAATCAAATTGTGCTTCTTCAATGAGCCTCATCGTGGGAACTCATTCAGAACGGCAAAAAAAAAAAAAAGTCAGGAAGAGTAGTTTCTCTGTAAGAATCTCAAAGACAGACAATGTATTTGAGCCATTTCAATATCAATCTTCTGTTTATTGAATGAAACTGCATACTTAGACAAACAACAGGTCTTCATCATACAATGATACAAACAGGGTCAGGTGTAGTAGCAGTTATTCCCCACTAGATGTCAGGGCAAAGAAACAGACGAGTTTTGCTCTGTACTGAGGCACAGCCATGAAAAAAAAGCTTTTCTGAGATAACGAAAAAAGTTCTGCGACCAAAAGCAGGGGAAAATATCTCTTAAACTATCTGTCTGTTCTTCTTTCATTTTGAAGAATGATGCAATCTCAATTGATAACACTACTGCATTGTGAATTACCGTATATGGGAGAGTTTACGAATCCATTTATGAAATATTGAGATACAATATTAATATGATCAGACTGAATCAGTAAAATGATGATCCATTATTCCTCCTTTTAAAGCCTATTTGTATCATTGAAATATGTTGTTTCTGTGTAATATGCAAAGAAATACACAACTCACATGCAGCATACTGTTGTGTCGTCTACAAATAAGTTTATATCATTTTTCACCCGTAATAAGACCCATGCAAACCTGCTAACAGCGACAACTTCATGTCTGTCTGTCCTTCGTTGTCAAACGTTCTACTGCACTCTCCATGTCTCATCAATAATGATCAATAAGAAACAAGTATTTTAGATGTATAATCTATAACACAAATATAAGGATTACTTCAGCAGGCTTCTCTAGCTGCTGCCTTTCTGACCGCCTTCCATCTGAGGAACTTGCTCCTTCTGAGGTTTTATTTTAAACAACAATATTGAGAAGATAAAATTCATGCTTAAACAAACTTTAAACATTTGATTTACTGTATGTTGCTAATTTTGGTCTCGTTTTCATGGGAAAGCACATTAAGTTTCTGCAGGAGTAAAATAGACCAAACTCTGAGGATGTAATTAAATTTGGCAAAGGGGAGGGGTGGGGGGGGGTGCGCAGATGGCCTAGTGGTTAGGTTGCGCCTCATGTAAGGAGGTTTTACTCCTTCAAGCAGGTGGCCTGAGTTCGAGTCCGACATGATGTGCCTTTTATTCCTCATTCTTTCTCTCCCTGGTTTCCTACTCTATCCACTGTCCTTTCAGATAAAGTCAAAAAGTCCAAACCCACTTCCTTGGGTTTATTGGAAACTAAACATGTTTATTTAAAAAAAACATACCTCTTCCATGAATGCCGTTATACCCATCTCAACCCAGTGCTCAGTGACTTGCTTTTAAGATCAGCCATAATACTCTTTGGACCCCCACTCAAAATGATTCTACTCTATATGGATTATTTAAAAAGACTATTTTTGAATCGTATTCTTTTTGACTCCTGTGGTACTTTAATTTAATATTTTCGTTCCTGTTGAGTGTGTGAATTTTAAAGACCATCAGGAATATAAGTGCAGTGAATGTGAAATTGAATTGAATAAAAATGGATGGATTTTAGATTGATGTAAACTCAGACTAAATATGTCTGAGTGATAGAAAAGCAAGAACTATTACCTGAAATTTAATTTGCCGCTACATTACTTTTCAGAAGTTTCATATTTTGTTGCTAAATGCAAAAATTAAGAAATAAAAATCATATGCAAATAACCTGGTCAAATTTCCCAAGTTGGGTGAAATTCAACATTACCAATTAAAAACCAAGAAATGGTCTGTTTTTTCCCCCCTTGGAGATGGCAACATTTATGCAGGGATTTTTATTTTAAGCCAAACTAAAGATGTCTATCCATAATTCTAACACCATTGCCTAGCTTAATATGTATTCCCTTGCTCTGACTGCTAACAATAACAAACTACACATCTAACTTCACATTTATTCCATAGCTTTTACTTAAATTTGCTTTTAAAAAAAAAAAAAAGATTACCCCAGGCTGTGTTTTTAAAAACTTAAAATTAAACATAAATGCTTTCCAACTCCTATCCAAAGTGTACTCGAAGTCAAGGTCTAAACCTGACACTGGTCCTCCCAAAGATAGAAACATCAGAATAGTCACTCACACACACATATACACAATACTTGGTCATTTTTCCAAAAAAAACAAACTCCCAAACAAGAGCAAAGTTCAACATTTAGTGTCTTTATAAAACAGATTTGCAAAATATAGCCAAGGCTCAATCATTTAAATACGCATAAATAGCAAGAAAATACTTTCCCATTTCAATTCAAATCTTTTTTGAACTTCTTTAAAAACAAATCAGAGATGAAAATTATATGGAGAAAAAAACGGGCTCAAGCCCTCTTGATTTAATGCAGCAGAAAAAACACGAGCATATTGTGCTAAAGCGGCAGTTCATTAGCCAAAAATGTACATCCTCTGAAGACATGAATTCATAAACATTTAAACAAAGCCTTATTCAAGTCTGGGAAATATTAAAGTACGAGTCTTTGGATGGATGCCTCAAAGTCTTTGTTTAACATCATCAGCATTGCAAACATAATTAATACCACCATGGCCAAAAGTTTATGTACAATAGTGCAGACAAGGAGCTCAAATCAGAACAAGGCAGTAGAGGAAAATGATGCAATAACAAATATCTCAATTTATCGTCTTGACTTCAAGTGGGTTGCATTTTTTGGGGGAAATTAAATAATCACGTTAGAATAAAACATCCAGTTCATGCAGGACAAGTACCAGACTATGCCCTGATGTTAAAACGACTGTTGATTCTTTTTTACACATAAACACAAAGTCCAAAATAGCCTTTAACTCATTTATTTTCTTTCTTTTTTAATATAGAACTGAAACAATTTACTTCAAAAGTGTTTTTATATTTTTAAAAATGTTTACATTCATTGTAGTCACTAATTCTTCCATTTGTCATTGTATAATAGTTGCTGCTTAAGGTGTTGATTTATATTTTCTTGCATATTAATACTTTTCAGCCTCATCTCAACTTGCATCAGGGTACATTGCAGGATTTTCTACTTTTTAATAAAGAAAATTTAAGACAACATCGTAGATAACTAAAGCAATTTCTATGCAACCTTGTTCCAACATCATCATTAGCAGTGTCAAACTGTTTATTCTTAAATGCTATCAAAAATATTGTAAACATCCACAGGCCTGAAACAATTATTCAATATGACATCTGAGAAATCATTTAATTTGAATGTGTTTAAACAAGCATAAAAATAAAATAAAAATCTGTCTTAATGCTGCAACATCAGCAGGCTTCAAAAGGTTCCTTGATCTCTTTTACTTTTCAAAAAGGTGCTTTAGCGTCCTGAAGCAGACCAGTTTAGAGAGACTCTCTTTATTGTCCCTTTTTTTTTTTTTTTGTTTCCTTCTTCACACCGTGGTTCATTTGGCCGGCTCGGGGATGGGTGGAGCTCGCTCCAGTCTCATGGTCCAGGGATCAGAGGTTGTGGTGTAAAATGGAGAGTGGGTAAGCATTTCTTCTCCAGCCAGGGCAAAGGCAAACACTCCCCTCTGCCTCCCTGCTCCTGTCGCCTCCTCCTCTGTGATGTGCTTTCCTTCTGCTCGCCGTTCGTCCCTACATTCCCTGCTTGTACCCTCCGCACTCTTAAATCCCAGACCTCTGTTCCCGAGGCCGAGCATCTCCCCAAGTCCATGACTCTTGACTCCCGGGTAAGCCGGGCTTAACCCATTCTCCTCAAACCGGTTGTTGGTAGCAGTGGGGGGGCACAGGAAGTTGCTTGTGGGCGTGGATCTCCAAGTGGCTGGCTTTCGTCCCCGTCGGGGGGCGGGAGATGCGGCAGCTCTGCCTCTTGATGTGTCGATGTAGGTGGTCGGATCGTGTGAAACTTTTGTAGCAGTGCTCACATTGATATGGACGGACACCCGTGTGGATACGCAAGTGGTTCTTCAAGTCGTAGTTGTGGACAAACTTGGAGTTGCAGTGGAGGCAGATGTAGGGGCGCTCACCTGTGTGCTTCCTCATGTGGATCTTCAGTTTGTCTTGTCTGTGAAGAAAACAAAACCACATGTTTTCACAGTTTGTTGTGGGCGGAAAGGTTAACACATCAAATACAATACCGCCTTTCTCTTTTCTTGGAGATCTCGACTTCTATAAGTGAAAGCTGATGATTTACAGAACATTAATGTCTGGTGTTAAACACAAGTGGAAAATATGGCCTAGCAGGAGGAAGTAGGTGAGCAAGATCTCACAAGTGCAAAGAGACTAATAGAGGGGGGTTTCCACTTTCAGCTCTTTGATATTCAAAAAAAAAACCAGATTAACCTCAGTTGAAATAACATGGGGTAATTTTCCGATAACTCTGCTCTTTTGCATGTCAAAGTCCTTGTTTTCACACAGTATTTTAAAGATCTCAAGATGATCTCTGCAGGGCTTGAAACAATAATAATGAAAACACAATGATGTTGTAAGAAGTGCTGCTTGACATACCTCGTGAATCGTACTTCACAGATAGTGCACATGTATGGTTTCTCGCCTGTATGTGTCCTCATGTGTCGAGGCAGTTTCCCAGCCCCTTGGATGACCTTGTTGCAGATGGGGCACTGCTGCGATGCTTTGGGTTTCATCTTCCTCTCCTCCTCCATTTGCCAGGGGGGGAACAGTGTCCCTAGTTGGGACGCAGAGCTAAGGAAACTAAGGTATGACCGAAAGTCCGCCTCATCTTTTATTGGAGCCATAGTGTGACCTTCTGATGGCCCCGATCCAGCATTCATGGAGCTGCTCAGGCCTGAGCCAACAAACTCCTTCAGTAAATTTCCGTGTAGCAGACTAAGCGGGACTTCCTCCTTCATCTCTTCCTTTATGATCTCTCTTTTCACAACTAGATCGAGGGGCCTGGAGGTCTCATGTGGAGAAGAGGTGGGGAAGGTGTGAGGAATTCTGTGTTGTGGATGCTGGTGGCGGCTCGGGTCCAGGAGCTGCTTTGGGAAGGTGGAGAACTCTGTGGCCCACATGGAGGGGTAGAAGCCTGGGAGGAGTGGGGAAAAGTTGGCCCTCCTGTCGAGTGTTGGCATACGGGGGTACAGCCCCTCTTGAAGGAGGGACTCGATGGAGAAATCCTTCAGTGCCCGACTCTCCATACTCTCCTGCAACACAAGACAGAAATGTCAGCCTTTCAGAACAATTGAATAGTTTAAGATCCTGTTTTCTGCCTTGAAGGTACAAGATGATGTCAAAGACAATGCAAGATTAGAGTTCAATAAATTCCTGAAAATGGACACCTCAGAGGTATTTAACCTCAAAGGTATTTAACCCGCATATACCACAAAATAATCTGTAAATTAGACCATAATTCAGACCATGTTTTCTTGCGTTTGCTATCAAAATCTGAAGTTTTTAAATTACTTCTCCTGAAGGTTTGATTAATACCTGGTATGGATCTTGGTTGTATTTGGCAATCAGGCATCATTCTTATTGTTGATGTAGCTTGGGTTAATATTTACCAGAGAACTAACAGCATGCAAATCAGTAACTTACAATATAGCCTAGAGAACAAGCCATGTCATTTTTCCCAAATCAAAATCTAACTTTACTTCAAATGTGTCCAATTGTCAGAAATAATAGATACCCTAAAGCCAAACAGATTTGAGTATTCACCCATTTAGTAGAATACCATATCTATCTATTTTACCTGCTTTCCTCTCATGGTGTCTGGAGAATGTGACTGTGAGGATTCTCTGTGGAGTTCAAACTGTTGCTGGAACTGAGAGGTGCCCGGAGGCGACGAGTCCTCCGTCCCCGGTGGCGTCCGCTCCCCCCTGCTTTCTGACGACTGCAGAGATCTCTCGCTGACATTGTCCTCTTCCTCCTCCTGCTCATCTTTCCTCGAACCCACATCCTCCTCCTCGTCTTCCTCCTCCTCATCTTCCTCCTCGTCTTCCTCCGCATCCTCCTCTTCTTCATCCTCTTCACCTTCCTCCATTGCTCCTCCTCCTCCACCGCCCTCACCCCCGCTGTCCATGATCTCCAGGCAGACGTTGATGATGCAGGGGATCTCCAGCATCTGAGCCGCATTCAGGATCTCTTTAACATTTGATGCCGTTACGGTCAGAGTAGACGTGTAGGCGAACTCCAGGATGGCAGTGAGGGACTCTTGAGCTACAAAGTCGATTTCATAGACAGCAGCTGTTTGATGGTGGTCTCCGCCATCAGTGGTGGCCACTGTGAAGAGCTTCTTGAAGTATTGGCTGCAGGCGGCCAACACTGAGCGATGAGTGCGATACTCCTGATCACGGACGATGAGGATGACATCGCAGAGCAGCCCATCACGCCGCTGCTCGTTGAGGCTGCAGAGGACATCACTGCTGTGATTCGGGAAGGGAATCCCGATCAGGTCATCTTCTCTGTGATGAACCATTCTCCTCCCTTTGTTGGTTACCTAGAAGAAGGAAAAAACAACGAACTTTTAATAGTTGGCGGAAAAGGATGAACTGAAAAGATTTAGTAAACCCACATTTTGCTGTCAAGTCTCCATTATTACTCACTTTGTCAATTATCCTATCTCTATAGTTTGTTTCTTGTATAAATCATGATTTTGTGTGTGAGTACAAAAGCTTGAGATTTATTGGTGTGAAGATTAAGCCCTGGCAATCTTTAAAGTTGTTTAAGTCATTTGATACATGCAACAGTTTTGAGTGTATTTAAAAAAATCCTTCATGACTTTTAATGTCGTGAAAACACTGAAAGTCTGTCACACATTAGAGGTTTATTCCAATTTGTAAACTTGTGACTTCTTCTAAAAAAGATAGGGAACATATTGCCTAATTGGTTTTCTCCAAAACTAAAAAAAAAATTAAGGTTGTTCCAGGACAGCACGTAATATAGGAAAATGACAATATTTAATGTTTAATACTTGATAGCTAAAGCTTAAATTTGGTTCATGTTGTACCATGTGTTCTCAGATCTTACTTGTAAAGGAGATTTTAATCCTGAGCAGACTTAGAGAATATAATACTGGAGCCATATATTTTTAAAGGAGTAAAAAAATCAATCTTAACCACCTTTCTAAGTCCTACTTCTTTCTAAGTCCTTAAAAGCAGCTGCTTTTCATTCAAAGATGTATTTGAACTTGTCCTTTGATTATATTCTGTTGGGATTTGAAGTTTGGTAACATTACTTTTCACAACGACAAACAGCAGTTAATAAATGAATCCTCATCGTTTCTTGCTATGTCAACAAATGAGGATTTGTATTGTTATCATTTTAGTAATCTCACGACCAGAACTGTAGGTGCCAACAGGAGGGCGATAGGGGAATATCAAGTCAAATAAAAAAAGCAATCTTAAAAAAATGTATTTCAACTTGCATACCAGTTTAAAATAACACTGATGGGAGAGCTTCACTGGTTGAAGGAAAATAAGAAACTTGAATCGGCATAGGCTCCTAACCAAAGCTGAAATTGTTACTACAATGAGTGACAGTCTATCTTTATTAAAATATACTGTTGACATGCTTGTTTGTGTGCCATCTGTGCAGCACAGGCAACTAGTGGTAAATACAGCATGTCTCATTTCGAGCACCGCGTTGTAATTTTTATCTTTCAATCTTCAGTCACAATTTCCTGTAGGAATGTGTCACAACCGTGTGAGTTAAGGAAGGCCATCATCTTGATAAGACATGAAACACGTTTTTTTTCTTCTATGTAACAAGTAATGAGAAGTTTAGTTTGTGTGATGTCCATCTCTCCTCTATCTCTACAGATGTGTGCAGGAAGTAAACTGATACCATAGTTTGAACAATACAGTGAGTGATTGGGATGTGGTGAGAACTACAAAACAGGTCAGATCGTACCCTTGATACTGTATCCTGTCTAAATGCTTACTTTGCAGACACCCTCATTTGATTTACAACACGGTTACTCAGAATGTAATACAGCAGATATTTCCTCTTTTCTCTGAAAAATCTCTCTTACTTTTTCCTAAAGTCTTCTTTTCCGAGTTCCTACCTGTTGATTCACTGTGCTCTTGTTTACAGTTACAGTGATAAAACTTCCTTTCTGGCAGGCTTCTCATTCATTCACATCTATGAATAGAGCTTAAACTTAGACGTCCACACTTGGTGGTCACTGAAGGCATGTGTAGATAAATACTTTGAAGGGGGACCGCTCGGCCGCAGCTGCATTGTTGACTGCCTCTAAATGTCCTGAAACCATGCGCACACACACACACACACACACACACACACACACACACACACATGCACCAAGTGTCTCACTTTTTTTCCTGCTGCAGTGGATCACACCAGAGGAGTACAAAAAAAAACGATATCAGAAAGTCCCATTGTTCAACTGCAGGTATACAACTTGGAAACCGATCTCACAAGTAGTTTATTCATGTCGATCTTGTTGCTAGGTAACTGTTGCTATGTTCATGCCATTGATACAGTGTGGACATAATTAAAGTGTCTATATAAGGGGGGATGGTATAAGATATAGGCCCTCAGACATAATCTGCAGAACTCCCTCAAACTACCTCGAATGGAGAAGTAAAACAAAAAAGAAGAAAGTTACAGTGACCTGGTCTGCTGATAATAACATATTTAAAAATATATATATATATATATATATATATATATATATATATATAATATATATATATATATACATTTTCAAAGTAGGATTCCCTCATTATAGAATTACATTACATTAAAAGAACAATTTCTGTACTATCACTTTGCATAAAAAATATTTCCCTCATTCGCTTAGATTACGCAGATTTATTTTGTCTCTACCAGAACAGAACTATTTATTTTATACATCTTTTATTTTTACACCACATGTATACTGTATCATCCATAAAAGAAAAAAGCTTGGGTAAAAGGTGAGAGAATCTCCAGTGAGAGAGCGAGGGAGAGATCAGATGGCCCTAAAAGTTCCCTAACAGGTTGCACAAACACCAGCGGAGGGGCCCCTCCCTGTAACAGCCTGCCAAGGCAAACAATAGTGCAGAGCTTGGAACAACACAAAGTGGATAAGAGGGAGAGAAAAAGAGTCAGACTGGGAGGGCTAGGCCAACCCGCTGTCATTCGTTTGCTCTCGATCTATCCCACCCACTCCTGGAACTATGGGACACGTGCTGCTGTTGCTGTTTGTTCGCCTGGTGCCCCAGCAAGCACCACTCCCCTCCGTTCCCACTGTTTGCCCGCCACCAGCTAACGCTAGCTCTTAGCGGCAGGCCCCTAATTACAATGTGGAGAGGATCTGAGGAGGATGTGCCACATAGACAGGGAGGGGAGGAGGGCACAGCTTTCCCACCACAAGGTCCTGGAACGACATTTCATCAGCCAACAGCGTTAACCCTTTGCACACACACATAAACCCCCCCCCCCCCCCCCCTCCACCCATCGGAGCAGCCAGGGTGGGGACGGCTTGTGAAAGGCCTCTGATAATTACCATGTAAGTCATTCGGCTCTTTATCCATCTGACTCTTGTAGCAGAGTCATGGAAGGACAATCCAACTTTTTTTTTTTTTTTTTTTTTTTTTACTCAAAAAACTGTTCAACCTGCTGTTATATTTTGTCCACCAATGATTCTGGTTGTGCGCGAGGTTTCTGCTTTTTTTTTTTTTAACGATTGATTTTTTTTTTTGCTGCTTGCACACCGGTGGAATAATTTCTTGTCTCTGTGAATTAAAAACTCCAAACCGACTCTTTTAGTAAAATGTCTTGAGAAAAACACGTGGTAATTTGGAACTATATAAATACAATTGATGGATTGAATCTGATTGTTGTGTTGCAATAATCAGCGATGGCACGTTTTCAGGCATGTATCCCTAAACTGATTACCTTATCAATAGGTCATCTCTGTGTCTAAAAGTATTCATTAAAGAGCTCATCTCAATTATTAAACTGACCTCTAATAAACAGTCGTGCCTCTCTGCCTGTTTCGACCACGTCTCCTCTCATGCCTCACTTAGTCACAAACACTTTCAACTCAACACTCCCACCCCAAATTATGTGTCACCTCCATTCACTGTCCTCTTTTTCCCAAGAACTTCATCTGCTTTCCGGGCTCTGACCACCACCACCACCCCACCTCGTCCTAATCATTCTCATCTCCTCCTCCTCTTCCCTGCTCCTGTTGCAGCAGTATCATCATTAAGCCCCGGGTAGAGCGGCTAACTTGTCCCAAGCCCTGACCGCTCAGGCCACAAATCAGCAGCTAATGTCCATCTCAACCCTCGTCACGGGCAGACACTCATTTGGCCTCTAAGATACAACAGCCAAAGCCCAGTTTATCCCTGTCAGGTCAGTGCATCCACCTGACCCTCCTGCTAAATCAGCAGCAGCCCAAAAGTTTACTCCTGTCACCGACTGCCCATAGCAAACACCTGCTAAACAACTGTCACAGACGGGACAATTGCACAGCCAATAAGTGATCGTATTGACAGCCAAATTTCAGCCCCCTTATTAGGAGAGGACATTTATTTGACCTGAAGTGTGAGGTAGTCCATTATCACCTGTAAAACACTAGTGCACCTGTTCCTCGCTCGGAGGTTTTAAATGACCTGCAGGCCACATAGGGGAGTTTGTAAATCTGGTTTTAATTGCTGTCAATTTGAGTGGTGAACAGCATATGTAATGCCAATTATAAAACATAGCTGTGTATTTTATCTTTAAAATAATGACGCAGAGGCAAAATATGATTATTTAGGTGCACAAGTTTGGCTTAAAAGTTGAGCACTGCGTGAAACTATATTTTTGAATGAAATTTACAAAGTTCCTGGAACTAAAATATATGTTTTAGGACATTACTTTGCTTCCATACAAATTATAAATTCAAGCAAATATTTCATTTTTGGTAGGAAACTGTCATCAGAGTTTGACAAATGTACAGAAATGTGGCATCAATAGCCTCAATATAGAAGGGGTTATAAATGTTACAACAGGCGTACTGATAAATTCCTTATTATATTCCATTATCCAACATAATTAGTTTCGACTAATATTTAACAATTAATGCTTTAATTAAAACCAAATTTGTGTTCCCCCTCCCCGAAGTATAATCAAATAAAATAATAAAAAGTAAACAGTGGACGTGGTCTTCAGAGATCTCCAGGTGGATTCAATGCACTCTGCTCTTTAAAGAGCCTGTTTGCACTAAGTGTCTCCTCTGGAGCCTTCAGGGGGGCCCAGAGCTACTCACCATTATCTCTCTCTCACCCCCGAAGTAAACAAAAGTTTACAGTTGGGCTGCTGGAAATCCGTTAAGAGAGTTATTAAGAGTGATTAAGAGAATTACTACTCGGCCATTGGCCATGAAACGAAGGGCAGATTATTTCCTACACTCGTCACCTTATGCTTCTCTTCATCTTTGTTTGGTTCTGGCCTCAGAATCAACAAAAGAGCTTATTGAACTCTACAAATATTATAAATGTATTATAAGATAAAAACTTAACTCCAACAGGGAGGGTATATTACTGCAGTTTTATTGTTAAACTTTGGTTTAATATGTATCCTTGTTTATTAGTTCATTTTGAAAATCCTTGAAAATAAAGATGCTTCTTTAAGAACATGATACGAATTTATTTTTAAACAAATAAGTGATAAAAAATAGGTTGAACAGTTGAAATACTTTAGTACCAGATTAGCAGGTGTAAGTGAAAACCGGCCTGTAGCTAATAGGATATAATCAGAGTTCCTGATATGTCATGAAGTGCATGTCATCGCTTTGACATTGATTGCAGTAAATTTCCTGTCACAGTTTGTGTTGAGGAGGTGTTTAACTACATGTTCAGTCGGAGTTTAACTCCTGATCATAAATTTAAAGAGGATGCAGTCATTCAGGAACTGATACACAATACAGCACAAAGTGATACGCTGATTATTTCTCTGTATTCCCCTCAAACATCGACATGTTAACTGCGTTTATCTGATTATCATTTTACCAGTAAGTCCAGACGTGCGTTAATATTAAAAATGAAAACAACAGCTGGTAAACACTTTGAATGGTAACACTGGTCATAACATTTTGTAACTCCGTGAGTAAAGAGGTCGATAAGCTGGCTGACAACAAGTGTGTTGAAAACAGTAATTTGCAGCTCAAGCTCAAATCCATAACATGTTTTTTTTATTTTGTCCACCCTCACAAACATCATCTTTAACTTGTTACTTTTCTACCTGCGTATTTGTTTTGGACTTAAAGGAGAATGTCGTGTAGATATGGAATACCTAAATTTGAAATGTATAATTACCGTTGGAGACAAAACACATACTTAAGTCCACTAAAACTACTATGTTTGACATTTCCAAGATGTGCTGTGACGCTATAAATGCACCTGCTATTTAAAGAATTTTATAGCACAATATTTACACCAAAGTCTAAATAATTATGAGAGTCTTTCAGCGACTTTATTGACCTGTTTTCACCTTGTCAGGCCTTTATGAGCAGACATATAAACACTCTGTAAATAGGGGCGCAAAGTGATGCATGTGTGCACACTGTAACACAAGTGCAAGCTTGTTCACACTCACATGAACGCTGTGTAACAATGTGACACAAAATAAAGAACTTATACACACTCACACACACACCCATGTGCACGCTCTCAAACTCTGGCACCCACATGAAATCACACATGTCTCGATACGTCTCCCAGCATTCCTCAGCTTTCAGCGAGCATCAACCTACCGTACCTTAAGCTTCTCGATTCGCCTCTCGTGTCTTTTGTATTTCCAGACTCTTAAGCGGCTCCGTGGCTTCCCGCTTGACCTCTCTGCATTGCCCCTCGTTAATTGAAACACCTCTTATTCTGCCAGCCTGTCAGTCAGTCAGTCAGTCAGTCAGCCGGGGAAGTCAGTCCATTCACAAGCTCCCCACACGAGCCACTGATGCCCATTCACAAAAAAATGAAAAATAAAAAAATAAATAAAAAGCACCCGGGGAGGAATATCCAATGGAGGAGAGAAGAAGCAGCGCACCAGAGGAGAGCAGAGTGTGAATCTTGGGTCTGTCTGTGCAGCTGAGTGTGGAGTTGAAGAGTCAGGCTCACTGTTGTGTGTGGCTCATGTAGGACGAGCTAGAGAGAGCGAGGAGGAAGGGAGGGAGGGCAGCAGCACTGCGCTGTGGAGATGTCGCACCACTAGTTTTTATAGCAGGGTGGGTAGCTGGAAGATAATAATACCCCATCCTCCTCCACAACACAAGTTTAAGCGCACTGTGTAATAAGCCCATGGCGCAGACACCCTCTGATTTAGGTCAGACAAAATGAATTTTTAGTTGTGTTTGAGTGGATTTTTGGTATAAAGGGACCGGGGGAGAGAAACTGGAAGGGGTTGTTTGGGGAGACGGAGGGAGGGTTAAAAAAAAAAAAAACGATGGGAGAGAGAGAGAGAGAGAGAAAAGTTGGGAAACTATTTTTGCGCACCTCTTTCAGTTAGTCTCAAGCTGAGATAAAGAGACAAACAAGACTGAAACAGAACACAACTGCAACTTAAAGGTGCTTAGTTTCACTTTTACGCCTATATGGACTCCTGCCATAGTTTTGAATACCATCTCACAAAAGTAAACACATTAAAATTAAACTAACATTTAACTTGGAAACCTCTGTGCAAGACAGCCCCCCCCCCCATAAATACTCCCTGAAGCGGACCAACATTTGAAAATCATTAGCACACACTTTCAGTCGGTTAATTCGAGCGGATATGTTACTTGAAATCTGAGAGAAGAAAAAGACAGAAACAAGCCACAACCCTGAAGATTCATCCACAAGCGATTGGTTGCAGAACCTGGTTTCAAAAAGCCAGGCTGAAGAGAGGGGGCCAACATCAGACTCCTGTTTTGAGTCAGAAAAGCGCCAAAGCAGGGCAACTGTTGGTGAGCGAGACACCACCTTGTTGAGGCGAGAGGAGGAGGAGTAGGAGGAGGTAAAAGAGGTTCAGAAATGAGCCTTAAGCTTCAGTGTAGAAGAGGAAGTCTATTCAGCGTGAGTTGAAGGGGGGCATTTATTGTGAAGGGAAAGTGGAAAGTGGTGAGAGAGAAAAACAAGAAAGTGTTCTACACACAATTCTGCCTCTTTAAGGGTGCGCGTATTGATGTCAGACACAAACCGGTAAAATGTTATGACATAGCACACTCAAAGGAACTGAAACAGCCATTGGGCTTTCCTGTATGACATAATTAAACCACACTTTTTTTTATATTTTAGTTTTTTTTTTTTTGTTATTAAGTTGGCAAGACAACTTTTAACGCCTGAGTGATTTATTTTTGGATCTACTTTCCTCGAGACAGAGCTAAAAACAGATCAAAGCCGTGGTCGGATAATCAAACTAAAACGGATGATTGACCAATTATAAACTAATCTGACCAATTTTGTAGAATGTGCAGTCAGCCATTGTTATCTTAGAGGCTCCTCAACCTTTCAATCTACTAAAATATGTCTAACCATGTATAAGCCGTGACCGACCATCACACAGTGAAAGCAGTCGAATATTGTTGAGTTAACCTCCACAAACAAGTCGAAATCAGAGTGTACATCAGACTGCTATGCCCACTTCCCCCCTGAGGGATACATGGACCAAAGCAAACCGCAGCCCATGCCCTGTGGGTTTACACTGTTTTGTGCAGGGTGAGAGCTGAGGCCAGCTCACATTGGCATCTCGTATATATAAACAGGGTTAGCCACTAACTGCAAGCAGGCCAGCCAGACGGCCAGAAAAACAACATTTGCCTCCTATAAGATGGCCTATCTATTCTCAACGTGCCGCTGCCGTCATAGCAACACGCTGTAAGTGGTACCTGTGTGAGCTGCTTTGTTCCAAAGTCCTAAAACTGCAGGAGGTTGTACTGCAAACTATATAAGCACTGATTGACACAAAACATGTGTCTAATAATGCTGACATGAAATATGTAACCTTGCTCTGATTTGTTCAACAGCTCCATTTTCTTTTGTGTGTAAAGCCTTAACTGCTATGTGCATACAGGGAAGTAAGACTAAAAGGCAGATAAACATGGTGATTTTGCTTGCAACAAATGTAGTTACAGTAATGTACTGTAATCATGAGATTGGTTATTTTTATTTTATTTTAAAGGAAGTTATCTATGTGTGTTGTTTTTTGAAAATGATTAATTAAAATAAAATAACCTTAGTTTGAAGAGCACAGTGTCATTAAGTGTTTTGCAACAGGCAGCGAAATAAAACAGGAAAGTCCCCAAATAATCATGTTTTAAAAGACAAATTGCACCAGTTCAGTGAAGGTAAATTGTTGATTTTGTTTTCCTCTGTCTGTGGGGTTTAGGCTACACCAAACAATAGAAGAAGAGTGCGGATGCTAGTTTAAACTGCTAACAGTCACACGGCAGGAGGATTCAACGGGCTGACGAAGAGTCATCTGTTTTGTCTGTCTGTCTTTCTGTCTAGCGTCTCAGCGTACCTGTTTACTGCAACCTGCTGTGCCCAGCGAGATACACAAACCAGGGCACCAGATTGGCTCTTTGGAGGGGGGGGGGAGGGGTGTGAGGCATCATTACATGAAGTTCATATCATGGAGACTTTGATGATGGCCTCAACTTGGCTTACAGTTCAGTAGCACAAAAACAGAGCAGCAAAAATATTTTTAGTGTCAACATTTTTTTCTTGTCTCCGACTAAATGAATAACTCATTATTTAAAAAGAATAGTTGATGCAGCAATACAGCCAGACATTCACACAAGAGGCTTGTTGTTTAGTTTGCTGAAGGTTAATATCTATTGATTGATGATCATTTGATGCTGTTAACAAAAAAATGTTGCTTACACTTCTTATTACGTTAAGCTATTTGATCACATACATTTTAATTGCCATACACGAGGATTAAAGTTCTTGCTTTAATGGATTTCCGTCAGTTTCAATATTGTGATATTTGCAGGCAGTGTTAATCCGATCAGCCAAAAAGAAGAAGGGGCCCTTGGTGACATCTTAGGCTACTTAAGTAAAACCAAGGTCTTTTTCTCATTATCTAATTTCTAAATGCTCTGAAATATGGAGCCCCTTAAGGGACCTGGATTGAAAACAGAGAAACTGTTTCAAGATCTTGCAATACTTTTTCGAGCTATTGCAAGATTTTTAAAATTTTTGCAAGATCTCTCAAAAGCGGTCATCCAAGTGACTTGCTACTTTAGTTCATCGGCATAGTGGAACATACATCATCAATGTGAGAAGGCACACACCAGGGGAGGGGTTCATTATAATAACATTTAAAAATTCGCCTCAAATATAAAGAAAATAAATCAGTTTTCACATAAGTGACAGACATTTAGGTCAAGGGGACACTCATAAACTCATATCAGACTTCTGGGAAGCTAGAGGGATACACAGATTCAGCCTTCCTAGGTCAAGAACTCATCAGCCAAAACATTAGTTTTACTAAACGGACACTTCTTTTAATTCTCAGTACGCTGGTTGACAGAGAGCCACAAGCTGATTTTCATCAGTACGAGCCATCCTGCATGCTGGCAACATGCATACAGTGACTGCTATGCTGCAGCCGGCTGAGACTCAAGTGTCTAAGGGACCGTCTACAAAGTGCATACATAACCCATACATCATCAGAAGAGCTATAAAGTTAGTGTATGTATGACATCAACAAACTACTTCAAAAGGGATAATTGCATTTAGTCACACAGGTAGAGGTCAGAAATAAATGGAGACTCAGGAAGAGTATTTTATAGATGCATATTTTTCAGTATTGCACATTGTAGACAGCCCCTGCTCCTTCAGCTCCCAGCCGGCTGTCCAGCTCACAGGGGCGGCTCTTACTGATGAAAATCAGGTTGTAGCTTGCTGTCTACCTTTCTGTTATTGTGAAGAGGTGTTGGTTTTGCAAAAGCAATACTCAGCTGATGAGAAAAGGACCGGGGAAGGCCGCAAAAGGTATTGTTAGAACTTGCAAAAGTTTCTCAGGATTTAGCCTCGCAAAAATATTAGACTCCATGTCCCTTAAGGGGCTTTCTACCAAAGGCTTTTATAAGCATACTGCAATTATAACAATGTTCTTCTAGGGGAGGATTCCCCCCGACCTCCTACCTGCATATTCTTTTGCATCTTGTTACATCTTATAACATCTTATGGTAGACTGCCTTTTCAGCCACCTGTATGTTAAAAGAAGTCCCAGGTAAGGTTAAATCTGTCGCCTTTCTGCAGGAGCTTTCGAAAATGCTGCAAGAATCTGTTTTAATTCTTTGATAAAACGTGCAAAAAAAATTTTTTTAACAGCTTTCGTCAGGTCATAAACATGCTTTTGCGAAGAAAAGGGTGGTATACTGTTCAGTAAATAAACCTTTTGGAGTGCTGGTTTGATTGAAAAGTCAAAGTGGGGGGGAGGGCAGCGCGGATTGAGGCAAATCGGTCGCAGGCTGTGTGTCCGTACTTCACAACTCACACCATAACTTTGCTCAAAGAGTACAACTACTAGCAGACTTGCAAACTCCAAAACAGATGGTACTGAAAGAGCTTCACAGTTGCATAGAAACTGAACATGCAGATGAACACAGTGAAAATCATCACGCAGGAAGACAGTTTCTTTCCTCTCTGGTAGACCCCCAAAAACTGCCTGTGTCTTGTATAGCAGTGCGGCTTATATTCCTTTATCACAGGAAGTCTAGTCCATCGCCCCTTAATATATGAAAAAAGAAACAGTTGTGTTGTTCAAACACATTTGAAGACAAAAGTGTAAGTAAGTGAAGGTAGATGAATGGATGAATTAAACATAGCACTTACTTATGGAAGACAGCTGTTTGATTTCCTTTTGTTCCTTTTTTTTTTTTTTTACCCCGGACCACGATGGTGTTCTTGTTACCATGATGACTAAGGTCCCTCACCATTTACGAAGTAGTGATCTTGACCCAAACCATGATCTTCCCTTAATCCTAACCGAGTGCTTTTTTAGGTTGAGACCTAACCAAACAACGTTGTCACTTTATAAACTGGATTTCTTTTGTCCACATTGTTTAGTAAGTGTTGGCAGATGCTTAAAAAGGGTGTTGTTCTTCTCATTTGGGGTTATATACTGTATGTGGTTCAGCAGGGCAAGAACTAACACGTTCCTAATATGGAAGACTCTCTGGGA